ACTAACACATAACAACAACATGGATAGCTGATCTTTGATGAATAAATTAAATCCATTAAATGAGGAAAAGACAAATGATGCTCACAAAATTAGATTTCTATTTGTAAAAAAACTGAAACGATCTCTCTCACACACCATATAAAAAACTAACTCATAGTTCACAGGACTAAATGTGAAACCTAAAACTACCAAGGTCATCAAAGAAAACACTGGATCAAACTTAAGAACCCCAATCTATGGCATTTAATAGACTCTCAAATATAAATAAAAATGCACAATCAGCAGAGAATAAACTAGACAACTGAAACCTCCTAAAAATTCAATCCTTATGTGCATCAAGACTTGTCCAGAAGAATAAAAGAAAACCCACAGACTGGGAAAATATATTCAGCAATTGTATATCTGACAAAGGACTAATATCTACAATGTATACTAAATTCCAACACTTAAACTAGAAAGATAAACCAATTACTAAACGGGAAGAGGAAATTAAAACACATTTCATTAAAGAAGACATTCAGATGACCAACAAACAAATGAAGACATACAAAACCATTAGCCATTGTTGTTCCTGTGTGCCGGTAAGTCAGAGACAACTCATAGCTGACCCTCCAGCAGATTTTCAGAGGCAGTGAATTGCATGGGAGGAGCCTGCCTCATGCCTTCAGGACTACAGTACAGCTTCTTATCAGTAGGCCTACCAAATCATTAGCTATTGCTAAGTAGAGCACAACTCATAGCGACCCTATGAATAACAGATCTGAATTCTGTCCTATCCTGTGCTATTCTCTTCATCTCTGACACAAGTGAGCAGTCACTGTGTCAATCAATCATATTGGTGGTCTTTCTTTTGCTAAGCCTCCACATTTCTAAACATTATATCCTTTGCCAAGGAAGAGCCTCTGTTACAACACGTCCAAAGTATGGAAGACAAAACTTTGTCATATAAATCAGAACAACAGTAAATATTATCTCACCCCAGCAATAACAGCTAAGTTCAATAAGAGAGCAAATGCTGGAGGAGTAAATACATTGGAACTCTCTCTTCTTCAACACAACAAGGGCATCACTTTGTCTACCATCCTTAGTCACTGTCCAACTTTCAGATGTGAGTAAATAAAGATGTGAGTAAATAAAAAAAGCATTACTATATACTGTAGAGTCAACAGGGGGCAAATTCTTTGTATGCTTCAATTATAAACAAACATCTTGAGAGAATGAGTTCTGGTTCTGAGGCCGTGGGACCATAATTCTGGGGAACATCAACATCAACTGGCATAATGAGGGCCACAAAGACAATGTTCTACATCCTACCATGGAGAGTAGTAACTGAAGTCTTAAAAGTTTGTTAGTAATTACGGTATAACTATTGATCTCCCCCTGTCTGGAACAAAAAATAGGAAAGAAGCAAAAATACACTAAAAAAATTACTCCAAAGGACTAACGAACCATACTAACCTCACCTTCCATGACCCCAACACCAGATCACCGAAACAGAGGCTGGTTACCATTACCACTGACACCTCTCAAAAGGATCATCACAGTATAAGATTCTGAATAAAGTGGGGGGAAATATGGAACAAATTCAGAGACTCATTTTTAAAAAAGACCAGCTTATTTGTCCTAGAAAGTCTGTTGGAATCCCTGTGACCATGGCCCTCAGTCACCTTTAGAACTTGGAACTTTCAGCCAAACAATTAATAGGCTTATAAAATGACGAGTATCGCAAGGAAAACAATTATTCTTTAGAATAACTAAGCATATAAGGTCAAAAGAGCAGAATTTGTTCAAGGATAAAAGCCTAAATGCAGAAAGGTGTAGGATAATAGGATTCAAGGAAATGAGAATAGTGGGAGGTGGGAGGGAAAGTGCTATTACAATGTGGATATTGTAACTAAGTTACAATATACCAAAAATCTGTGTGAAACTTGCTGAATGAAAAAATAATCTGTTTTGTTTCATTCAAATCACAATTTAAAAAAATTTAATGACATTTATTTTCATGAAATCTTATAATCTTCCCTACTTGACTGATATCTGCTAAAATTGTCAGAAGTTTTTTCTAGTGAACTACATTTAGAATACTTTTGATCATCTCCCTTTCCATGAGTACCAATTATAACAAAGCAATACAGAAAAATGGAGAGAAACCAGATAAAGTGTCTCTACAAACATAAGAATTTATCTACACTACTTACCTCACTTCCTTTTTTATACATTCTTATTTGATTGTTTCTTTCTAATCTAATCATTTTAATCTATATACAAATCATTCAAGAGGCTGGACTTTATGAGGAGGAATATGGGAGTCTTCCCAGGAGGAAGACTCATCAACAACCTGCATTATGCAGATGACAAAACCCTGTCACCTAAACTGAGGAAGACCTGAAGTGTTTGCTGCGGAAGGTCAAGGACTACTATCTACATTATGGACTGAAGCTCAATATTAAGCAAAGATTTTCACCACTGGGCCAATGGGCAGCACCACGATAGATGGAGAAGAGATTGAGAGTGTTAACAATTTTCGCTTGCTTGGCTCCACAATCAACTCTCTTGGCACCAGCAGTCAGAAAATCAAAAGACTACTTTCTCTGGGGAAGGCTGCTGTCAGGGGACCTCTCAAAAATGCTGAAGAGCAACAACATCAGTCTGTAGACTAAGGTATACCTGCTTGATCCAGGCCATGGTCTTCCCAATTACTTGCTATGTATCAGAGAACCAGACAGTGACTAGGGTTGAAAGAAACTGATGCCTTTGAGTTGTGGTACTAAACATACCATGGACTTTCAAGGAACAAACCGGAGAGGGTGAAACCAGGCTGCTCCTTGGAGGCAACTGAACCTCCGTCTTACATATTTTGAGCATGTGGCCAGCAGGGACCAGTCGTTGGAGGACCTCTTGCATAGAAAGGCAGAGGGATAGTGCAAGAGAAGATCCCAGATGAAATGGACTGACACAGTCCTGGGATTTTGGGGGTAGGTTTGTCAGAGACAGTGAGACTGGCTCAGGATAGAGCAGAATTCAGAGTCATTTTGCGCAGGGTCGCTATGAAGTGCAAGCGACTCAATGGCATATAACAACAAGAGAAGGAACAACATAGATTAATAAGAAAAAGAAAAGAATTAAGTAAATTAATAAATTCTATTATAATAATAATTTCAAGTAATTGTGCAACTTGTGCTTACGTAAAGAACTCAGCTTCAACACTATAGATTAGTCATCTGTCAGAGATTGAACTGTTGTCCTAAAAACTTGTGTTCCCTCAAAATGCATGAACCAAATAAATGCTTAAAGATTAAGGGTGGACTGCAACACAGTCCTATTAAGAGGTATTTACCTAGGGTGTGGCCTATAACAACTTTTATCTCATGAGAAATAAAAGGGGAGGAAATTAATCCATAGAGGTAGGGGACCCTTAATATCACCAAGAAATAATTGCCAGGGGTGAAGTGTAACTTTTTTGGCCCACATATCTGCTCAAGAAAACACCATGGAAGGCCAAGACACATGAAGGTCTCCAAGGAACACCCAGCCTACAGATTCTTAAGAAAATAAAACTCTTTCTACAGAACTAGAGAGAGAGCCTTCCCGCTGCAGCACTAGATAACTAAGTAACCATCATTTTCTATATGAAACCAGAAAAATTATAGGAATATATGTTGTTGTTGTTGTTGTCGTTGTATGTGCCGTCAAGTCGCTTGCAACACATAGCAATCCTATGTACAACAGGTCTGAACTCTGCTCTATCCTGAGCCAACCTAAACATGTCTCTGACACGCCTATCCCCATTACCCAACACTGAGTCAATCCATCTTCATCGAGGGGTCTTCCTCTCTTGTGCTGTCCCTCCACCCTCTCAAGCATAATGTCCTTCTCCAAAGACTGGTCCCTCCTTGCAACATGTCCAAAGTATGACAGACGAAGCTTTAGAATTCTTACGTCTAAGGAGCAGCTTGGCTTCACTCTCTCAAGTGCAAACCTCTTTCATGGAGTTCTTGGTATATTCAGTACTCTTCTCCAGCACCACACTCTTCTCCAGCTCAAAGTCATCCATTTTCCTTCTACATAATATATGTTCACCCTTATTTGGCACCTTTCAAAAGTATTCCAAAATACTCTAGAGAAAAACACCTACCTCTACTAGCCATAAAAATGTAGCAAGCAACAGCATGGTCAACTCCTGCATATATTCTTTAAAATATTCACACTCAACCCTTTTCCCTTCTCCAAACTGCAAAAACAAATGGCTTCAAAAATTCCTGGATTCAGAAACAGGCATTCTAGAATTAGGCTTCCGAGTTGCAATTCTAACAGGGCTCACTTAATAAGGACCTTAAACACTCACAATTTTCTGCCCTGTGAAATGAGGATACCAGTATCTACTTCACTGGGCTGTTCCGGGATTGAAGTGAGATAATTCATCATAAAATGCTTAGAACAGTGGCTGGCACACAATGTACCACAACATCTCCAAAATTGAACTGCCTTAAGTTCAGATTTTTCTTTTAGAAATTACATTCTTACTGAACTCCAACAGGCTAACTAGGCATACTGACGAGGTTTTCTAATCCGTTTACACAATAAACAGCAGCTATATACACTCATTTTCATGCTTTAAAAAAAAGAAAAGAAAAATTCATGTAAAATTAAAGAATTACTCTAATACCCCAAACATTTAGCCAGAAAGATATCTGAAGATAGTCTGGCAATCCAGTTGGGATTTCCATGGGCTATGGCAAAGGAACCTGACAAACTGCTGGATACCACATCTGAGACCTACCTAGCAAGCCAAAACAAGCCATGATTTCTTAGTGCTGGGAGCTACCGTTCGTTCACAGAAAGCAACGTTCGCTCTGGCATTCTCTTCCCTTTTGTCAAAAACACCACCACGCTTGCAGTCCCGAACCAAGGCAGAGCGATCTCCAGGCTCTCTTTCCGATACGGCGCGTCCCCCAACCCCCACCCCGGCCCCCATAGGAATCCACCCTGGCAGTACTCACAATGTATGTCCGCATACATTCACCATCAGCTTCAAGGAAGGATTCCGGTACTTGGTGGTCTTACACCGGGGGCAACCCTGATCGTCCATGGCGATTTCTCCCCTACAGATTCGCCTCGAAGTCACTTCACTCGGGGCCACCTCCAAGACCCTCGGTACAGACACCAAGAGACACTTGTCAGTGACGGTCCTTCGCAAATGAGTACCGGCCGAGATGAGGCACTGAGAAACAAAGGTTCCGGCAGTGAATTAGCACAAAGGTTCCAGCAATAAAGTCTCTAGACCAACGCAGTGCTCTGTTTTAATCTTTCCCCGTTGAAGTAACACAATACTTTGGGTTTAGGAAAAACTT